GCTACGCCTAAATGATCGCCATTTTGGTTTTCGATTATCGCGCAAATAAAAACATTAAAATATTCCAGTCAAATTACTGTAACAAAGAATCTAAAACAATACGTAGGTATGATTAGGTAGGTGGGTAGGTAGGTAGGTAGGTAGGTAAATTTCACAAAATCGAATGAATCTAGATGGCCATTTTCATTTTTGCCAAAAAGTGGGCGTGGCTCGAAAGTAGGTCAACTAGCGTGCTCCAAAATAGGACGTTCAAATCTCTCCCATAGGAGTAACAACTGTATGCAATTTGAAACATGTGAGTCAAACGGTTCTTGAGTTATCGTTGACCGTAGGCAGACACTGAAATGCACAGTGAAATTGCCAAAATCTACCTAATTTGCATAATTTTTTTTAAATATCAAAATCCTTGGGATATGTTTTGGGGCCAGTCCTTATTCATTCACATACAAAAAATGAGCAAAATCCGTTGAACCTGAACTGACTTATGGCCATTTCCATTTTTGCTAAAAAGTGGGCGTGGCTCGAAAGTAGGTGCTGCTCCAAAATGGGACGTTCACATCTCTCCCATAGGAGTAACAACTGTATGCAATTTGAAACATATGGGTCAACCGGTTCTCAAGTTATCGTTGACCGTAACCAAATGTTGACGGACGGACGGACGGACGGACGTACGACGGACGATGCCCCATGGCAATAGGTCATCTTGACGATGTCAAGGTGAGCTAAAAACCTACTGAGGAACTGTTACCAAAAAGGGGAATCCCTAGCGTTAACTTAAAGCGACGTCATCTTGAGATTTCTCACATGTAAAGTCCAGTAGAGGGCTGCGCACTTTACAGTGCATGTCACTAACGAAAGCTGGGTATAGAGGGTTCCGCGTTTTGGTCTAAAAATAGCAATATTACCTACAATCCCGTGCCGCCGGCCGTACCGGTTACAAATAGAGCGAACACGCGTCGCGTGTAATATGCCACTCTGCACAATCAACCGATTTTACATTGGCTATAGTGTTATTATTGCAATAGATATTAGAAGTAAGAGGATCCCGATTTACCAGACAGGTTTCTCAGTGTGGGTTTTAGGTGCTGCAGTTCAATGAGGCTGCCACACAGTCGGCAGATTCGTAGATTGAGCAGATCGGAAGATTGCACGCAATACATATATGTTCATAGACTTGAGTTTGTTTACATCGTGAGAGTTCAGAATTTTCACCGATGTTACCGCATCTGCTGTAGCTATCAAACGCAGCTTTTTATAATAGCTAGTGTATGCGCGTTTGTCGACTGTCTGTAGTGTACGTATTATGGATAAGTACGTGGATTCACTAGACAACGTAGCCAAAGCACGCTA